GACACCCTTCAGGGCAAACCAGCCCAGCCCCCACCTGTGCACCAGGCCTCTATTCTATATAGTAAAAAGGGTAATATGCCTCCCAGCACCAGGGTCAGCGTGACAGGGGGCAGAGCCCAAACCCCCTGATGGTCCTGCGGCTCTGTGTGTGACAGGGGGTGGGGCCACAACCTCCCTATCTGCCCTGCTCTGTTCGTGACAGGGGAAGGCACCCCAACCCCCTGATCAGCCCTGCTCTGTGCCTGATAGGGGGGAGCTCCCCAACCCCCTGATCGCCCTGAGGCTCTGTGTGTGACAGGGTGCGGCGCCCCAACCCCCTGATCGGCCCTGCTCTGTGGGTGATAGAGGGCAGCGCCCCAACCCCCTGATCCACCCTGCTCTGTGTGTGACAGGGGGCAGTGCCCCAACTCCCCTATCGGCCCTACTCTGTGGGTAACAGGGGGGAGCTCCTCAACCCCCTGATGGGCCCTGCTCTGTGCATGACTGGGGGGAGCTCCTCAACCCCCTGATTGGCCCTGTTCTGTGTGTGACAGGGTACGGAGCCCCAACCCCCCCTGATGGGCCCTGCTCTGTGCATGACAGGGGGCAGTGCCCCAACCCCCCTGATCCGCCCTGCTCTGTGTGTGACAGGGGGCGGTGCCCCAACTCCCTGATCAGCCCTGCTCTGTGCGTGACAGGGGGTGGTGCCGCAACCTCCCCATCGACCCTGCATTGAGTGTGACAGGGGGCGGTGCCCCAACCCCCCCAATTGGCTCTACCCTGAGCGTGACTGCGGGTGGCATTGCAACCTCCTGATCCACCCTGCTCTGTGCATGACAGGGGGCGGTGCCCCAACTCCCCAACTGGCCCTGCTCTGAGCCCGACCAGGGGCTGCACCTATGGATTGGGCCTGCCCTCTGCCACCCAGGAGCAGGCCTAAGCCAGCAGGTCATTATCTCCTGAGGGGTCCCAGACTGTGAGAGCTCACAGGCCAGGCTGAGGGACCCCCCCTCCCCTCGAGTGCACAAATTTTTGTGCACCGGGCCTCTAGTGTTATATGATATGATATGTTTGTATGGTGTGTATAGTATGGGTGGTATGTGATGTGAGGTATGAATGTATAATGTATGTATTTTGTGTTTATTGTGAAGGCGTAGCATGGTATGAGTTCTGTGTATCTGTGTTTTCCTCATCTGTGATATATGGAATGTTCTGGGTGGTGTATGGTATGTGGTGTATGAGTTTATTGGTGTGTGTCAGGTGTAAGGAGACATGTGGTGTGTGGTGTGCATTTCGATCAGTGAGTGTGGTTATGTCTGTTGTGTGGATTGTGTACTGTTGTGTCTGTATGGTCTGGGTTACATAAGATTTGTTTCAGGAATGCCTTCTGGAAAATGAATGTTACTTTGTCCCAGAGATGAGGGCCAAACAGTTTAAACAGAACTAATCAAAAGGAGAGACTCAGAGTGTTCTTCCCTGTTGAACTCCCTTCCATGGCTCCTGTGCCTCAGGAGAAAGACTAACCCCTCAGTCTGGCTTTGTGGCTACTTGACCCAACACCAGGCCCCCCAACCTCCCTCTTTACTCCCCCACCAATATCCTTTCCAAAAACCCCCCAGGTCATTTCCTGCCTCCTTGGACTTGCACCATTGTTCCTTCGGCTTTAATTATCAAAGGTCACCCATTTCGACTTGTCTCACCTGAAAAATTGGCAATCACCCCCGGTTCCACCGACACCCTATCCTCTTGGTGGGAACTTTCTCGGGTAATTCTCAGGTAGAGCAAAGGAGCCAAAATCAGGTCTATTCCGGCCATTCCACACAGGGCCTTTGCACATGCTGTTCCTCTGCCTATTAATGTCCTTTTCCTCTCTACTAATAGACTTCAGCTAGTCTTTAAGGTCACCTCCTCTGTGAAGCCCTTCTTGACACCCACCAGCAGGACATTAGTATCTTCCTCCTCAAAGCTCCCCTGTGACCATCTGCATCAGTAATGTCTCTCCTCCTTGTCCTTGAGGCCTTTAGGGCAGGGTTAGGATCTCAGTCCTCTCTAGTCTCCAACAGAGACCTTGGAGTCCTGTACAAGCTCACTTCCCATCCTGAGCCAGCCCTTGTGTTGCCTCAGGCTAGAATCCTTGGTGTCAGTGACATCCAGGCCCTGTCGTCAAGGCTCCTAGTCTAGTCAGAGAGATCCAAGCACACAGAGGAATGTTGCTGCATTCACTGAACTTTCACCTTGAGGCTTTAAGGACTGGGTGTCATGGGTGGATGAGGAAACTGAGTCTCAGACAGGGAAGACCCTCTTCCCATTCTCCTCCCTGCCATTGGTGCTTCTCATTGAGATACTCCAGGCCAGACTCAGTCTACCAGGTGTACGGGTAAGGGCTGAGTTTGTGTGGGTGACTGGGGACCCTCCCATTGAACCTGCTTGGATCTTGCAAGAGGGGAGGGAACTAGGTCTGCCCAAGGTCAAGAGTGTGGGGAAATAGAACTGAAGGCAACGAATCACTGCCAGCATGAGAAACATGCACTGTGCATTCACTTCCACACACAATGAATAAAGTGAAAGGCAACACAGCCAGCCTAGCCACCCTGTCCTATATCTGTCCCCTGGCCCTCTCTCTCTCTTTCAGTTGGACACCACTTACTGGCATGTTTACCTCAGAGCACCTACCAGGAAAATCCCTCACCTTATGCATGACTGAATGAGTAATAAACTTCTAAATTATTTGTGGGTGTTGGTGTTTGTGCGATGTGTTTGCATGTCTGACATTCACAGGGTCACCATACCTGAAGTCTGCAAGGTGGGTACAGCTTCACGTTCAGGATGTGGGACTTACCGTCGGAAGCACACCTTTCACTCACAGACAAGGCTCCGATTTCTCGAGTCTCGTTCAGCAGGTTGCAGGCTGCTTGGGACATGCATCCCTGGACTTTCAGATCGCCGAGGATGCCAACTGTGGAAAGAGGCCAGGCAGAGTGGGAGAGAGTGAGATGCCACCAATGGGACCTTCCAACCCTGAGGAGCCAGGCCCACCCACCTCTGAGCCCCAGCCCTCAGCTTCCCTTAGACAGGCAGGGACCCCGATGTTCCAGCTTACTTCCTCTGAGATCCAGGGTCCCATTGTAGCAGTGCGTGTGCCCAACGGGGCAGATCAGCTCTGTTGCAGACTTACAGCCATCCTCAGTAAAGCAGACTGGGCACCGCACCGACCCTGGAACTAGGAGGGGAGATGGAAGAAGAAAGGATTGAGTGGGCTCTGCATTTGTATCCAGTACCTTCTAATCTCTTCTATTTTATGGCGCCATAATCAACCTCCTCAGTCTCATGTAGACCTGGGGAGCCAGAAATTTGAGTGGAGTTGTTGGTGAGAGAGCAAGGCAGGAGGCATGAGACCTGGGAGAGGCAGCAGTGACTGAGACAGGAGACGGGGCCTTGGAGGAACCAGTGTAGCTCTCACCCACAACTTCCACTGCACAGGCCAAGCAAACAACATGCTCCAAAGAGTAGAGCATCACAAAGTACCCTTCCCTCCAAAACAGTTTATGATATAGACTAGAGGCCCAGTGCACAAAAATTTGTGCACTTGGGGGGGGGGGAGAAGGGGTCCCTCAGCCCATTCTGTGCCCTCTTGCAGTCTGGGACCCCTCAGGAGATAATGACCTGCTGGCTTAGGGCTGCTCCCGGGTGGCAGAGGGCAGGCTCAATCCCTAGGTGCAGCCCCTGGTCGGGCTCACAGCAGGGCCGATTGCGAAGTTGGGGCGCTGCCCCCTGTCATGCACAGAGCAGGGAGGATCAGGAGGTTGAGATGCCACCCCTAGTCACACTCAGGGTACAGCCGATTGGGGGGTTGGGGTACCGCCCCCTGTCACTCAAGGCAGGATCGATAGGGAAGTTGTGGCGCCACC